ATGGTTTGGATCTTGAAGGGAGCAGTTAATCTGCTGCAGCTTTCTTGCAGGCTCAGGTCAGTTTGGGTCTGTGTTCCATACTGCACCACAGCAAACCTCATCTGGAGGAAGGAGATGGTAAAGCCAGAGCTGGTTATACGAGATGTAAGGCTGGATCCTTAAGTCCCTCAGAGTGCTGAGTTTAGTCCCAAACTTCACTGCATGTACACAGAAGGCACGAGCTGCAAACACTGTGCAGATGATCTATCTTTATCCCCGTTTCTATCACACATTTGTATGCTGGTGATGCTGTTTGGACCAACTCCAGGAACTGACTAATTTTTATTTTTTTTTTGGCTCACAACAATTTCTCTGTCTGAACGTTCTGGATTTATCTACCTGGGCAGACCTTTTGTGACCATATGGCTCAGCCTCACTTTGTCCCCACATATCAAGCTTCATTTAAATCATTTAAAGTAATGCCTTGTAAGCCTCACTCATTTTTACGTCTTCTCTCTCAAGGTGCCCTGAGAGATTCACCAGGCAGAACATCTAGGCGAACTTCTGGCATGAAGACCAGCTCCTAGCTGCTCTTCTGCTCCCCTCTTCCTTGTCTTACTAACATTTAACTCTTGCTTTACAATAAGTAGAATTATTACCAGCATCTGTGTGAGTCATTCAAACAGCAGTAATTATGTGAACTGGGGGAACCTTTGCAAAGGCGCTGTGCTGGTGTTGCTCCTAAACCCATCTTGATGAAGCTGAGGAAAGCCATTCCACACAAGCTGGCAGTGAGAAGAGTACAGGCTCTGTTTGTGTCTGCAGTGGTGAGGGCCTGGTGATGCTTCTGGAGGCAAGCGTGTGGGGCTGGGGAAAGGCCAGTGAATGCTGAGCAGAGTCACAGATAGACTGAAGATGCCATCTGGCAAATAAACATTCAGCATCCCCAGCACAGCCCTGCAAGTCTCCTGGTGAAAGTAAGAAAGCAAGCTGTGCTTCCCTTGATGAGGCCCCATGCCATCAGGTCAGTCAGAGCTTCAGCCCTGGGTTGAGGGAAAGAGTGAGGCTGGAGGTATCACCAGGCTGAAGCTGTTGGCCTCCAAGTTGGTAACAGCCTGACGATTCCATACGTTTACAAAAGCTTCCAGCAAAATTCCTTCAAAGCAAAACAAAAACAGAGCTCCAGATATGTTGGACCAAGTTCCCTGGAACATTCAGGTGTCTTTGAAGTAAGTGGCAATTCCCAAACAGCAACAAGGAGAAAAAATGATCACCATGGGGCTAATCTCCCTCATGAATATTCCTGTGCTCATATGGAATTTGGTCTGGGAACAAAAGACTCCTCAACTCTGCACCAAGTTCTGCTGCTGTCATGCTGCAAAGCCAAGGTATTTAAACTTCTGGCTCACAGGGATTTCCAACACAGATGACTCAGTTCTTAGCACTTCAGTTATTCCAATTAAGTGTGCTGTACTTAAACTGAGGGTGAAAAAGAACTGTGTTTCAGATTAACTAACTGTACCAGCAAATTATCTGTGGTGCTCACATGCACACACCCTCAGCACAGATCTGTCAGATCAGTTCCAAGAACTGGAGACCCAGCAGCTCAGGCAGCTGCACTCCTCTGCACTGAAACTCTCAGCAGCAGAACTACCAAATGCTAAAAATGCTGCCATAAGGAAGAGTGATTGAAACGATTACTGAAGCACATGAGGACAGCAGCCTCCACCCATTACTCCATCTTTATTTCTCACAAGCCAAGTTGAGAAAGGTCAAGATCTGAAAAAGCATTACAAATTCTGTGGACATCTCTGTTAAGAATGTGCGTGTTTACAAAGCTGGGACAAGCATGAAAAGAGAGGCATTAGCAGAATAAAACACCATCATCTAACATGTAAAAGTCAAATGCAAATAAGGAAAATAGCAGAGCAAAAACCCTGATATTAAATCTAAAATAATAAAGCAAATTCCAGAGAACTTTGATAGACTTCTCAATGAAATGCTAAGATTGATAACATTTCTTCCCCGGCACATTGGAAGCACAAAGCTTGCCAGAAAGTCTGTGAGGCTGATCAGGGCATGCACTGAATCCTTAACCAGTGTTCCTTTTGGACAGATAGAGTAGATACGTGCAGCACTGAGTCTTTTGAAAAGGAGAGCAGACAAACAAAAGTCCACCTCCCCTCCACTCTCAACTACTACAAACAAATAAAAAGGATAATAAACAAATAAAAGGACAGAAGGACAAACGTGGCTTTGTGTTTGTATTCCAGAGTGGGAATTCACCTAGCAGCTGCTTTTCTCCCTCTCCACCTAAACACGAATTTCTGTGAACTGCAGAAATCCACAATGCAAACGAAGGACTTTCATTCCACTTCAGCCCCAAACACCCTGAATGTCCTACACCATAATCATGTTATTGGCCTACTTTATGGGACTGATCCAAGTCTCCTGAAATTACTCTGCTTCCAGACTACGAACTTTTATTATCTAATAAAGAACTTTAAAGACTTCGGGAAAATAAATACAGAGACAAGACTCACTCACGAGGTAGAGCAGGTGCAAGAGGGACATCGGCGCTCCCAGTTTGGAGATGGAGGGCCAGAGATGCCAGGCAGAAGCAGTTCTCTTCCTGTGCTGACTTTCCAGCTCTGCACATCTCATTGCTCACAGAGATGGTGACTCCTCTGTAGATTTCCTAGCTGAGGTGTTGAGGTGTACACTAGTGGCATTTTAATAAAACTGCAGATGCAAAGAGCTACTGAAAGGCAAACTTATGTTACAAAGAAGTACACTTGGGCTTTTACTGATCCCTCATCTCTGTATCGTTGACCCTCATTTGGTGCAGAGTAGCCCACAGTTACCCCCAGACAGTTCATACTGTGTAACAAGTGCTACTTGTATGCAGGGTGTGTTTCTACCAGTGATAAGTGAGGAAAATGAGCAAATACTGAGCAATCAGAGAAATTAACTGTGTAGAAAATTATTTGGGAATGTGGGGACTGGGGAAGGGAAGAAGAACCGACAGAGATGGAGCTCTTAGCCCAGCGTTCATTTTCTGAGCACCCTCTAGCCAAGAGCACAACAGGTCACACATATACACTGCTAGCTGCCTCCCGCTCCCCTCCTCTAAGGATTCTCTGTGTTTACAACATTTGACAAACATCAGAGCCTGACCGTCCTGAAAGGCTGCAATGCTCTGTATCTCACATATCAGAACTGAAAAAGATCACATCAACACCGGAAATAAAGCACTCTCTGGGCTCAGATTGCAATGACAGCAGCCAGCGGTGAGGCAGCCACAGCCGCACACCCTTCTGATTCACTGCTGCTGGAGCAGCCAGGAAGTGGTGAAGGGGAACAGTTTTCTTTAAAAGGTTGCCTTTCTTTTTAACCCCAGAGGGATAAATTACATATATAGATGTTAAAATACAGTGAAGAAGAACAAACCTAATCACTAATCACAGGAACAGTCCAGCTGACAAATCCGCCAGCCGCCTCGCTTTGGAAATAACTCTTTGCAGCTCACGTAGACGCTATATAAAGCATCTGTTCTTTGTCTGAGCCCTTCTGCTTGTCACATTTCAAAGACTTCTTTAACCAGCTAACGAGGCAATGGAAAATATGCTCAGATGCACATGGGGTCATGAAGAGAGAAGGAATCAGCCGGGACGCAGATATATACACCTCCTTATATTGGCTTCAGCCTGAGAGCATGCTTGAAAAAAATAACAGGGAAAAGAACAGCAATAAAATGTGCTATCTGGGGAGGAAGAGAAACCCGCTTCAACCTCTACACCTTAGGAAGCATACAAACTGGGCATGAAGCTTGTTGGGAGAAAATGACGCTGATAAGCAGTGAGAAGGATTACTGTGCAGTGGGAAACATTTGAAGCCTGGTGTAGATGCCACAGAAAGCAATGACCTGGCAAAGTGTGATGGAGGAGATGCAGTTTGGGAGCTATACAGTCTGCATTTACCTCCTATTCCAGCCAGGGACCAGGCAACCTTGACCAAATACACAGGAGAGGATTTGAGCACCCACAAACCTACATGGAAGATAATGAGAGCTGCTGGTGTCTTCTCTCCATTCATGGATGGGCCTTCAGGGTCTTTTGGCTCATAGAGTGGACACAGGAGAGAAACTGCAGCTGTTCATTCACTGGGGTTGGAGAATCTTTTCTTTTTTTTTCTCAGATGAGAATATTGCCAAGCCTTCCACATAGCACACGGATGGATTTCAGATGCAGGATCAATGCAGGTGGACAAGAAAACACAAGGAGCAGAAGAGAGAGGGTACGTCACCGTTCGATAATTTCTTGTGCAAAGGACTGAAGAGTTCTGTGACAAAACATTATGTTCTCTTAAGAGTGGTTTCCAAAATTTTGTTGGGCCATCAAAGCTGTGAACCACCTTCTAAGTCCTTCCTCTGGAAGGGATAGCAGACATCTCTCAAAGCAAATCCCAGACAGCCTCCCTGTTTGCTACATGACCAAAATGCAAAGTGGCTCAGTTGGTGAAACCAAAGAGGAGCCCTGTGCATAGACTGAGGACACAAAAAGAATGGAAGGTTACTGACATTAACCTCAACAGCACTGACTCACCTCAGCTTTATAGGAGGGACCCCACTGCAGAAAAGTAACTCCACAAAAATCTCCTTTCATCCACGATCAAAAAAACCTGTGCACACCAGTTTGGGAATGGCTAAACCTTCTGACCAACTCGATGTAGTGGTTTGCTGCATCTGTCTGTCTCTGTCTGTTGTCCATCATTCTTCACTTGTGAGCTTTAGAGGGCTGGGGCTGATGTTCTGTGCAGTGACTGTGAAACACAAGGAATACCACAGTCCTGTTTCACAGTGAACACCAAATGTTTTTTTGGAAAAAATTTAATGCAGATCAAAATATTAACACTGCAAACTAAAGAATGTGATTTAAAGATAAACAGGTTCAAGAAGCAGGTTACCTTGAAAGCAAGCTGTCACAGCCCACACCTATCAAAACCACTACCAACAAGCACAATTTTTCTTTCGTTGTTTATTAAGACTCCAGGAACAGACAGCATATCTGATTCTGCCCTTCTTGAGAATCTCAAAGTGTCCCTGTTACAGCAAAGCACCATGCACAGCAATAGATTACCATGTCAGATGATCCCTTTGTGCAATATGAGCACTTTGCCAAATCTTGGGAACACTTAGGACAAAGCCATAGATGGAAAAAGCAGCTGAAGGTTTTACAAAGCAAGAAAACATCAGAAGCTGAAGTGAGAAAAGTTAGTTACAATTCAGAGACCCAAAACAGTGAGGATGCAGAGGGAATCATCCAGCACAGGAGAATAATCTGATTTGAGCAGGTTATAAAAGTAGTACTTCTGCTGCCAGTCACACAGATGTAAATAAGCAACAGGATTAAAATGGTTGTATCCAAAAGACAAGTCTTCTAGATTCACTTGCTCAAAGTAGAAACAAGAGATAGGAGATCTTGAGTTACAGTTTATCTTACTGAAAGAAAGGTATCATTTGTAGACTGCAGGTTTTTCACTAATATTTCCTTCTATGAAAGATGTATCCAAAGCAACAGGTTCAGACGTGGCTAATAAGAGGTCATGAAAAACAAGAGATAACTTGCATGGCAATGAGGTCAGCACAGTACTGGGTGAAATGTAATCAGAAATTTGATTACACCTTGGAGTCCACACTGATCACATCTTCAACTCTTTCTGAGAGAGGTTGATGTTCTGAAAATACATCCAAGAATCAGCACTTTCAATTAAGTAAACTTGCTGTATTTATAGTTTGCAGAATAGTACATTATTATTTTTAAATGTAGGCTAAAAGTGAGATAGCTCATTTTTTCCTCCTCTTCAGAGCTTAAGACATTTCCCACCCTGAGGCAGTGTGCACAATACAAAAAAGCAATGAGGTTCTCGTAGTCAGTTACAGAAAGATAAGGAGCTCACTAAGGCTGACAGGAGACGTTGACCACATGAAGCACTTGGGACCATCTATCTCTCAGAAGCACTGTGTAAAATTCTGCTGCTGCTTTCTACAGAAGCAATGCAATCTCTAAAAGACAGATGCTTCAGAAATTCACCTAGTGAAGTTACAGTTCCAGAAAACTCACATCACTTTTGTGCTCTTAAGCAAATGTGCACATTGTGCAAATGATTTCATTACTATCATATGAAATGGGAATTCTGGTGTGATCCCAGCACTGCAGGTACTGAGACAAAGACTTAGCATGGCTCACGATGACTGAAACCTGAATATTTGTCCACTCACATCTCACAACAGCAGTGTTTTACACATCATTGACAATTTTTTATGCCTCTAAAATACTCTGCATTCCAAAGCTCTTCAGTGCAGGTTGTTGTGTTGTGACAAAAAATAAGTTAACCCATTCTTAGATAGGTGAACTCCATTCTTTGCTTCTCTATGGCAAACAACATTATTTCTATGCAGCTCAGAAAGCACTGCCTTCCAAAGACTACTCCCCACTGCCCCTAAGATCTTGCTCTTGCACCTTTAAACATGGTAATAGGAAAGTGTCAGTCAGAAAAGCTTGAGGAAAAAAACAGTTCCTTCAGAGGAAAATTTATAATTAAAGTGCATGAAAACATTTAATGTCACAGGGTGAACCACAGTCATTGATGAAATGCACTTTAACACTGATAATGCCTTCGATTCTTCCAGCTGCTATAGGAAGAACTACTCCTTTGAAGATGGAAGCAAGGTTGCAAACAAGAGAACCCGCTAAAGATTTCTGGTTTGTCCCTTTAGAGGCATCATCTCAGTTGCTGATAGCTGGGGCTGCAGCAGTGACTGCTCCTCTGAAACAGCTGATCTCAGTTGTTTCTGTGGCACCTGTTTCCGTGACCTCGTCTCTATAGCAGGAGACACAAAAACAGCGGCCCTTTGTCAGCAGGAAGCTAACAAAGGGATCCAGTTTTTAGAAGATGCAGGTTTAGGGAAACCCAACATACAGCCAATTCAGTATTTCAAGTGCTGAAACCTCCCCATTCCTGCAGTTCTGGCATCTAGAAAGAGACTATGCTGAAAGAGCAGGAAGCTGTGTAATTCTGATGGAGATTCTGCCCAAGCTGAGCAAAACGTTTCTAGAGAAATTCACAGCTCTCCATACAGAGCTGCCTCCCAGGTACAATGAGGGGATCAAACAATTAGATCTAAGGCAGAATTTGGCGAAGTTATGAGTGTTAGTGCCCTGACTTATGCTTTAAAAGCTTTAATTTTAACACCTGCAGAATGAGTGGGTTTACATTTTAGCTTTTTTTATACAAAAATCAACATGCATTTGGGGTACTGATCTAAGCCAAAGGCAAGAACAGCCCTTGCTTCACTCAGCAGTGCTTCCTGCCTATTTCCAATAGAGATAAATAGGAATGGCCTCTCCTTTGTTCTCGTTATTTATTCCTGAACTCCAGTTCTTTATGTGCTCAGCTCACAAGTGATGCTGCTACTATTTAGTACTCTGAAACAATTTCTTGAGCAAACTGGCCTAAAATTTCTGTTACCAAAAGACATAACATGCAAACAGGGTGGCTGAGCAGGAAGCCAAAAGGACACAGAAGACATTTCCTCATTATTTGACTTTACCTTCCGGATTTATTTCCAAATCATTGGTGTTTCCAGGCTCTTGCTTGAGAACTCCCACTTCCTTTGCCCAACTTGTCCATTTTATTTCCTCTACTCTGGAGAAACAAAATGCAAAAGACACAGATGCATGAAGCACAGCATTTCATCCAGGTCTCACTGCCCTGTGGCCAACCCCATCCTGCTAACACAGACTTAATACTTCGATTGTAGCAACAGCACCCTACAGAGCTTTTTCTTGAGCAAAGACCTTCTGTAGTCTAAGCTCTCTGAGGTAAATTCCTATCCCTCTGCACGTGGCACGCTGGCCTATGCCACTTGTTTGTTTTAAAATACTCCAGTTCCTCCAAGGGAACATTCTTAATACAAAGGAACCTCTTAGATTCCCCTTTCTATGCACGCTTCATTGCACGTAAAACCCTGGAGCTACAGAAGTGCTGCTGGCACTTTGTTTCTCTGAGTAGAGAAAAGTTTACCTGCGCTTTGAGCCCCTCGGTGGGTGAAGAAGTACTGCCTTTTCATGTTGCACTCATACTGCATGCTCCTGAGGGAAGGGGACACCAGCCTACACCCCTACCACCACAGGCAACTCCAAGCACAGCTACTTGCAGCAGTGAAGAAAGCATTGCTGCAGACAGCCTGCCACCATCACCACATCCACAGATGTGGGATAAACAGCACACGTCTTGGTGCTCTCAAACTTTCAGCAGTGAAATCACCAGCCAGCGTGCATGTACCAGGAACATGTGGTTGAGACGCTCAGCCAAGTCAGTGTTGAAACTCCTGTGGTGGAGCAGGGTTAGCAGCTTATCATTCACAGGAATCCATCACTATGCTGGAGTTTAAGGGTAACAGCACATCTGTCTTACCTGAAGCACCACCTCTCATCTTTTTTATTGAGGCCCACTGACATCAAGCAGCCAGATCTCCTCTTTCCTCCTTGGCGCCACAGCCAGGCCTTCTCTATTTCTAGGATAGCAATAGCCCTCTGAAAGAAGAAGTTCATGTCAGGGAAAAACAGGCCATGCAGAGCCCAGTCCCTCATTTTCATTAAATCTTCCCCCCAGTCAGCAAGTACTTTGACTTGGAAAATCACTTCAGAGATCAGCCTCAAAGTGTTCCTTAGCTTAACTGTATCAGGCCAAAATTGTAATTCATTCAAGTTACTTGTGCACATGGATCTGAATAGGCTAGTAGTCAGGCAAACAGCATGAGCTTTAAATACACCTAAAAATGATGTTAGAGTTTATCCCCAGAGTGGTAAATTTATATAAATGAAAACTTTACAGTTGAGGTTCAGGACAAAGACAGCGTCATGCCTGATGTTATGAAATTCAAATAGGAATTTGGACCATGATAACTCTTGAGCAGCACTGTGTCTCACCTGCAGCTTCCAAACACTTTTGCTGTAACCAGAAATATCAGTGACAGTCTCACTCATGAGTGCAATCAGCATGTTGAGCAATAGGATGTAAGTGAGGATCACAAAAAGCAGCAGCAGAAGCATGACAAAGTATCTGAATCTGGCATGTTCGTGAAAATCCAGGTCACCCATCCCAATGGTGATCTTGAAGAGCTCCAGGGAGACACTGAGCAGCCCACCATACATAGCATGGCTCCCAGCACTCTCCATCTGAGCAACAGACTTGTTCTGAGAGAGTGAAGGAGCGTCCCCCATCAGCGTAACCAGAGCTACAAGAGAAACAGAATTTGAATCCTCCTCAGAAAGACATTACTTCTGCAGCCCAGCCTATAACACGATGCTGATTAAGTCCTTACCTGCAGCAAAGCCAAAGAGGAAGATAATATAAACCAAGAGGAAACGCAACAGATCTCTCAGGATAGTCTGAAATAAACAAGGAGGAAGTGTCATTCCTTCTCAAGCAGCTGTTCCCAGATTATTTCAATGCACATAGCTCTTTCTCTTCTATCCTCACTGGGTTTCATACAATTGGTGGTCAGACTCCTTCCCTTCTCACCTCTGCTTTGCCTTGCCTTTCTAGTCCCAATCTCTCACATGGATCTGGAAACACTCCTCAAGTGTCCAAGCACAGCTTTTCCAGGGAACTTAACACTAGCTTTGACTGCTGGTTTTGTCACTGTCTGACCAACAAGTAAATGTCAGCTGCTCTAACTTGCCAGATTCAAAGATGGCAAAGCAGTGGTTTGCCACAACTGTACAACTGCACACAACTGTACTTGAAGGAGAAATCTAATCTCCTTCTGCAATTTATTTCAAGTCCATATATCAATTCATTTTACAGTTTTCATGGTCTTGAGGGAATAAAAGTAACTGCAGGAATTCTATTAGCTTGTGACACATCAAAGTTTTTCACATAAAATGTCTCCCAAGCACTGACCTTCTGTATCATGACACTGTAAATGCCGATGCGCTGAAAGCCCCGAGTGTAATACAGCATGTTCACCCATCCCAGAAGCAGGGAGAACACCATCACTGCCACATAGTTTTCTGAACTTGCGCCATACAGGACTGCTGACAACAGCAATGAGAAAGCCTGGATGAAGCTGGAGAGAAGTAGAATGAGTGACACAGTAGTTTGCTTCAGCAAAAAGGCCCATCTGCAGTTCTGTTTTGCAGGGAAAAGTGAACATGTTTTACCAGGCTACAGAGAGCACAAAGTGACAGCTATTCAGGCACATAGTTTATATAAGCAAATCTTGTTACAACCAAATGTGCATATTGTTGCAGTTTTGTTATGAACTGGTTAATCTCACAGTATGGAAGCTCTCAACTGCTCAGTGCAACTCATGTAACCGATAGAAAACAGAAAAAGAACTGTAACTCACAATTACATGCACACATACATGCAAACACATGCATCTACACATTTGTCCTCAAAAAATATGAAGTCTCTTTCTTTTTGATCAAATTTATGACATGGTGATGATTCAAAACTTGAGCTCTTTTCCTAACATGCTCTAAACTGTGGAATAACCGAAGATCTGCCCTTTGCTGTATTCCACCACAAATCCAAAGACAGGCTTTACCCCACTAAGTCTGTTACAACAAAGGGTTATGACAAGATGCAGCAGGTAGGAGAAACAAGCAGGGAAAGGGTGGAAAGAAGAGACAGCGGCAGAGAATCAATCTTTCCTGCTCACCATCTCTCTAGTAATGTTAGGGCAACTTAGCAGCACACAGCAGAGAACCAATTTCACCCGTGCTTTCATTGCGCAAAAAACCTCAAGAGACATACATCAAGATCTCAACACAGCTGTCAGAACACATAGTCTTCAGGGACTGGCGTCTCCTCCGCAGATACAGACTCTAATTGAGAAAAATCAAGGGTAGCCATTCATCAGAGCAACAGAACATCCTACAGATCGATTCCTGCTGGCACAGCCTATCGCACGGGAGAGAGGTTCACTCCACAAACTCCTCCTTGTGCTTTCATTGTCAAGATCCAAATTTTCAGTCACTCTTCCACAGCCTTACTTGTAAAAGGAGAAGTACAAACAAAGGCTAGATAACGGCTCAGCCTTATGTCCTTCTTAATAGTATTAATAGCATTAAATGCTAGAGATGCATTTTAGTACCATAAATCACAAGTCACTCCTAATCAATTACTGTTGTGAGCCTATTCCTCCTCTTGCCCTGGAGCCTGGTCTATACCACTCCCGTCATTACAGGATCACTCTGATACTGTGTTTCACAGCAGGGTTCTCTCCTGCCATCCACTCATGCACATTCTGACCTCAGAATCAAACAGAACCAAATCTGTTGCCTCTTGTCAGCGATGGTTCTGTTTGCTTGTTTTCATTCTTACAATGAGACTAGACCAGAGAGCCACATACCTGAGCAAAAATTAGGTATACACCTCCAAGCAAAATAATGATCAGGCCAGAGACCCACAGGAAGCCTCCAGCTGTGAACTCCACTGGAAATGAAGGCTGCAAGATAAAGACAAAGAAGCAAAATACCAAATAGTGACATTGGCACTTGTGATAAACACCCCAAGGTTTTTAAAACTCAACTCCATTCATTCAGGTCTTTTTAGATAAAAGAATATTAGGCTTACCTTTACCCTTAAGGGCTGATAGTAGGCAATGGCTGTAAAGATGATCATGAATGACAAGTATGAGATAAAACTGAAGTAGAATCTCTTGGAAGCAAATGTTTCCCACTTCTGCTGAAGCAATTTGTTCAGTGGCTCCAAAACCACCATTTTGTACCGATTCTAAGAAGGAAGAAAACCACCATCAGCAACAAACATATCAAAGTATCAACAGAAACACGAATTCACCAGAGGATTATCTTTTTCAGGGTTGGAATTCAGTGGCTGCAATTAGGCTATCCCTAAGGGTTTACTCAGTTAAGACTGTCAGTATGAAAAACATTACACATCCCATGGGAAGTTAATTCTGTTTGGCTTCATGAGAAAAGCCAAGCAGCTTAGGACAACCTCAGCTTAGGACAACCTCAGCTTAGGACAACCTCAGCTTAGGACAACCTCAGCTTAGGACAACCAAAGGATCAAAACCATCTCAAGGTGGTGCAAAAACTGTTGCTGTCTTTAACTTTTAGTAAAAAGCACTCACTGGTGTGTCACTGCTGTATGCCAGAATCTCCAGCACAGAGTTTTCCTCAAAGCTGTCTAGAGAAGACAAGTCATAGAGGGAGACGTGGATAGGTCCATAGGTCCATTCGGTGAACTTGCGGGACAGGTGCCTGTACACTGGGTCTTTGATCTCTCTTTGGATGATGTGTTTGAAGATCTGAAGAGAAAAATATCAGAAAAACATGTATGCAATTAAGATACAAAGTGACCCAAGCGACCCAAATCACCTTCAAATAAACACCTTGCCTTCTGCATTACACACTGTTGTATCTGAACACCAGACTATTTGGTTCATATCAGGCAAGATACTACATCAGCCCCTGCTGTTATGCTGAGGATGTATGCTGCAGTTGTCATTGTTTCCCAGCAACCCCAGGAATTCCCTCTATTTGGCTTTACCTCCACTTTGCCTGTCTTGGCAGCAAGTTGCAAGGGATTTAATCCGTCATAATTCACAATCTCCTCCAGTTTCACTGTTGGGTCAGTCTTCACACCTGCCTTCAGGATTTCAACATATACTGTGCTCACAAACTTGGTGTTCTCCTCAGTGTCATCTGCAATCATCACCAGGGCATGGAGGACTGTGTTTCCCTGTGTATCTTGCTCCTGGAGTCTGGCTTTTTGGTGGGGGTTGTTTAGAAGATATTCTACAACCTCAAACTGGTTGGTACAGGCAGCCAAAGAGAGGGGAAGTTCACCTGAAGAGATTAAAACAGCAGTTGGGAGGGGCAGCAGGAAGTGTGAAAAGAAATCGAAAGAATTGAAAGTGAAGTCGTGAACAGAGGGACAAACCCAGCTAAGACTAGTGGCATCGAACACAGTAAGGCATTAAAACAACCCAAAGAAATGTGCTCCACACAGGCTCACCAAAATAAAAGCAAACTCCCTCGTTCTTCTTCCTGAAGAATTCACCATGAGCTCTGGCATGGACGTCAGCTCCATTCTCCACTAGAACTTTCACTATGTCCAGGCTCCTTCTCTCTATGGCAATATGGAGTGCAGTCTGGCCTAAGGAAACAGGCAAAAACCCAGAAATCAGTACCAATTTCAGAGAGAACAAGCAGAGGACTCTTTGGCAAAGCACTGTTGAAACAGTAAAGGATAACTCAGCTAGCAGAACTTATTCTTTAACAGCTAGGTAGTACTAATTTTTCACTTTCAGAAATGCTGTATAAACTTTGCTACACAGATTCTTTCATATTTGTGGATTTATTAAACACGTATTATTTCTGTTTTATAGACTAAGGACAAAGTTGCAAAAGGCTGAGGAGGAAATCAGAAATGGAAAGATGAGCAGGCTGTGACCGTAATTACACCAGAACTCTGGAAAGGCAGTGCCACATAAACACCAAATCCCCTTCTTTCTGCTGTACCTCTGTGTCTCACCTGTCTGATGGGGAGGTGCATCTGACACAACACCAGCAGAAACCTTACCTCTGTAGTAACAGTCAGAGCATGCCACGTTGACAAGCGGCCTGGGATTCTGTGTCTTCTGATCTATTTCCAGCAAAAGAGGGATTGTGTCATTCCTTCCATTTTTCAAATTCATCAGGGCTTTCATTAAGCAAGTCTTCCCAGTCTTTGCATCTAGTAGAAGAAAAAAGTATCAAGTAGGTTGTGGATATGTGCACATATCTGTATTACCTGATTCAGCACACCTAGAAATTAACTCAGTGTAGGACCAAACCCAATATTTTTAATGGCTTTTGTATTCTAAGTCTGCAGCAGAGGCAAAAGCCTTAGGAAATATGCAACTAATGGCACTTCCCTGTGCTACATTAACAAGCATTGCCTCTGCTACCCCAGTTTCTGAGCAGGAGCCCACCTGTGTATTCAGAATTGGTGAGAAATTTTGAGGTCCTCCTTAAGTACTCAAGTAAGCCATCCAGTGCCTCGGGGCTGCCCCTGGAGACTGCACTGAAGAGCCTGTCTCTGTCAAAGCGATTGGGGTCCTTTTGGCTGCAGAAGAAACGCACAGTGTTAAGAAGTCCTGGAGACTGCAAGACAAGAGCATGCAACAAGTTCTAGTCTTTGCATAAGAAAAGAGGAGAGAGGTAAAAAAAAAAAGTTTCTCAGAAAAAAAAAAAACACCAAACACTGTATTTTTGAGTCAAAGGAAAAATACAGACAGCTATTTCCCATAATGCTCTTAAGTGATTGCTGTTTCCATCAGCTGGAGATCTTCCCAGATGCAGCCTGATGTGCAGTCCTGGAACGTATCCAGAGCACAGACAAGCCCAAGAGAGCTGCAGGATCAGAATAGGTCCCACCACGTGGTATAAAGCACTACATGAGCTCATTTACATCCCTTTCTGGCAAGAACAGTTCAGATGTATAGAGCTCCATGCTAAGTTGCTCTTACACTCAACTTGGCTTATTTGGTGCTATTTGGTTCAAATATACCCCAAATAAACAGCACACACCGTACCTTCCAAGTATGGAGAGGAAGAGCTAACATGTCCCCTTCCTACCTTTATTTATACCTCTACCAGACAGCTGTAATATTTCTGCATTGCCACTTTTAGTTTCAACTTCTGTAAAGTCTGTAGGCAGGAGTCAGCACAGATCAACAATGATCCTATCCTTGTCAAATAACCAACAGTTACTCACTTGCTCACAAGTCCTGGCCGATAGTTCAGATTAATCATGACTTTAGGAGAGTAGTCACTGCTTTCCTTCTGGTAAGGTGACTCCAAGGGCCGGGGCTCTCCCTTCTTTCCATATTGTCCTGATCTTTCTTCCTTTGTACTAGATGCAGGCTTATCCTCCTGGATAGTGTCATCTGTTTCTAGCAGTCCTACCAACCTGTTCCTCTGACATGGGCCTGACTGATCATTTGTGAAGTTATCCATTTCTAGCAGAGATGGCCTTGCAGATCACCAGATGTTGCCCACTGGGAGAATAAACCTGCAATAGCATGGGAGAATTAATACAATTTGTTCGCAAACCTAGAATGTGAGCCATGTGGCACAGACATAGAGGAAACGTTTCCAGGTCCAATGCTCCTACAGTTGACTATAGGTGTCTTGAGAGAAAAGATTCAACAAAGTTCTGCACAGTCGGCCGTATTTGAATAAAGGATCAATGTCTTAAACATGGCAAACCTAGAAAAGCAGCACAAGAAGTAGAGACTGCCAGAAGTAGTACAAGAAATACAGACAACTCTTCGACAGAACATCTGAACCCCTTTTGTGAGATGATCTCACCTGTTGGCAGCAGCATGGGTTCCTTACATAAAAGGCAAAGAGAGTGGATCTTTAGGAGACTACGATCACTGTTCTTGTCTCAGTGCAGCCAATACCAGCCAGTCACTGAGTGGCCAAAAGATAAGATTAACTATAGATTAACTTTTCTGAAACAGAGCAATAAGCTGTTTCGTGTTCTCTCATGTTAAGAAAGGCACTGTTTCCATGGGGAAAACATTTGCAAAAGTTATGTTCCTCTCATGTATTGTTGCACTGCACTGGGGCAAAATACAAGAGAACTCCCTAGCCATGTGAATACAGGCTTCCAACTTCCAGCTCCATAGCACAGGCACACAAATGCTGGCTGCCACACGGACACTCATAGTCCTCAGAACCTGAACACAGCTCAGCTCTCCCAAAAGCCATGCTGGACCCAGATGTGCCGTGCACTTAACCTAAGTATTCATCACAGCACCCAGTTAGCCCACTTTAGTATTTTTTACCCTTCTGAGACATCTCTTCTTGTTTATCTGGATACATCCCAGATCCACACCCAGTGCAAGCTGCCTGCAGCCAGCACATTATGAAGAGTCGCAGTTTGTGAAGCAGCAAGGAAACATCCACAATTACCAGCCTGAACCAGAGCTTAATAACTCTGCCCTATTCACATGTACTCCCTCCAAATGGGGATTTTCTCTCCCTTGCTGGGACTAAGCCAGACTCCATAGCCTATACCAGCAAGGAGGTACATGGACACACCATAAAGATTCCGGCTTAGATTAGGATGCAAGGCAGCACAGTTAGCTCTAAGCAGAAAGCAGCCACAGAATATCTTTATGCAGCTCACAGCAAGAAGTCCAAAGGCTGGTTTCATGACAAACCATTACAATTCAGCCATTCTGTTTAGTCTGCATTTTACTGACAAACATTCCTCTGCACGCATGAGATTACACCCTACAATCCCATTTCAGCCTCGTTTTCTCCCCCAGAACACTCACTGGTACATTTGCCAATCCTTCAGAGTGCTATTTGTACATCCATAATAGTTTGCTTCTTGTTCTGTCTTCCTTTCCCCCCAGTCATTACTCAGTTGCAGTTTCCTTCTCTCCACAGCTTCAAGAAAGTTATTTAGTGACAGCTGTTTACAGACAGAATGTCTTGTTTAAAAGCAAAAGCAAAATGGTCCTTAAAAAATGCAACAAAGACGCTAAAATAAATACATCCAAGTCATGTTTTCCTAGGAAACAGGCAGCAGCCTCTGTTTGTCAGCTCAGTTTTAACTTCTCATGAACTGAGTTGTCCCTTTCTGCAACTTTACCGAGCCTTTTTGAGTAGTACAGCATAAAAAAAAAAAGCCCTGTTGTCAAAAGAGGAAGAGTACAGCACTTACCCCAAGCTGCTGCCAGCTCCAGCCAAGAACTGATCTCACAGGGAGTCCCAACTGAGCCTTCAGAAGCCAAATAGCTTCCCCGTTGAAATGATGTCAAATAACATGTGTTAATAAGCATGAAAGCAGCCCACAAATTATTTACATCCATGCATGAGAACTCTTTTCTTCCGCAGAGACCACCACACTCATCTCAGCACTCCGGTGATGGCACGACACTGGACTCCTAGTTGGTGGTGGTCCATGGAAGAATCCAACCTGTGAGAAGAAATAACTGCCTGATTATTTACTCAACTGTATAGCTTTTTGCAAAGTGAAGAAGGGCTTGCACAGGAAATGACTAGATAGATTTCTCAGTAAAAGAGAGAGCCAATGAGTGCACTGCTCTTATATGGGAAAGCTGGCTGGCTATTGCAAATTCATCATGCTTAACTCCTTCCTGCACGGGAGACATCTTGTGGCTTCCAACAGCCCATTTAGACCGCAGGGGATGATCAAACCCTGGCAATGCCAGAGCCTGTGGTTCAGCTGTGAGGTTTGTCACAAGACACTCTGCCCAAGAAAAGCATGAAATCAAGAATGCATGAAAACATCTGAAGTCGACCGTTCCTGTGGGAAGCCAGTTCTCACACAATTTCACGCACCACCATTGCGAGGCAAAGCAAACCCCAGCAGACAAACCAGCCAGAATGTTATAACAAGCAGCAGCTGCTCATCACATGGACAAGAGCCTTCACAAAGCAGCCCCGTTCCTAACTACTTATGCCACTGATTACTTAATTTACCACTGGTGCTCAGCTCTTGATGGGCTCTCCAGAAGAACCACCAAGTCTTGGAAAGGTTATTTCTGGGAGCACAGGTGGCATCCACACAACAGACTGCAGCTGACACCGTGCACATGCACTAGCACTGTTCACTTATCACTCTGAAAACAGGACCCCTGGGACACAGAAGATATCAGACTGCATGAAGTGTCTCAGTTTTTTCTCTTCTAACAAAACTGTGGGCAGAGGACACAGCACGATCATTATTCCCAGTAGCAACAGTGCAGGATGACATTCAGCACCTTCAATGGCTTTCCAAAGCACAAAGCCGCTCAAGAGTATCGTCATCCACGCTGTGAAGAGTACTGATGGTTTACAAAGCCATATATGTGATCTAGAGATCATCTAGCAAATCTCGTTAATTAACAAAATGATATATAACTCTTTTAACCAACAGCTTGACAGCTATGAATTAGTTAACAAGCGCTCCAAAAAAGTTGAGAAGGGATGCGTCACATCCTGACATATTGAACTCTGGCTATGGATTTTTTCCAAAGCTACCACAAGCTTACAGAGAACCCAAAGCAATATTCAAGTGATAGGACAGCAGGACAATGTGGGGCTCCCAAGAACATTAATTTCCTTGGGTAACAACAGGTGTAGAATCAAGCAGGATAGTTTAGCATAAACTTCCCTCCCTCAGCTTTCATGAGTCAGCCCACCATTCTAACCAGGGAATGAAATCAGCCTACAAAAGTGCATCATAACAGATTTGGTTCTGCTCATCTGGTTTTAATAGTTTACACAGAGGAAGGCAAATGTGCAGTTTGCTGGGAAAGGAATCACTGCCAGCTGGGAGGTCAATGCAGCAAAACAGAAACATGGAGCTGCTGGGAGAACACAGAAACATTGGTATGCGTGCACACATGCGCACACACTTTCATAGGGAGGATGCTATGACAAACATTTGCATTTCCATTTTGGAGAAGGGAGAAGCAAGGCAGAAGAAAATTTCAAACCGCAAAGAGAGAAATTAAACGCTAAGTGAAATTTTAAGTTCAGTCAAAGAAAGTATTTCAAAATGAGCACTGCAGCACAAGTATTGATGTACGCTGTATGAAGAAGCACAGTAATTCATGGCAGAAAAAACAGTGACTCAAACCTGATTAAAGAGAATGCAACAGGAAGCAGAAGGGGGAACAGCTTTCTGAGAAGACGTGAACGAGCGTCTCCTAAAGTATGTGTTCTCTGATCATACACAGAGTATAGATGAGCACACCAATTTTTACCAAACACTGAAAAATACTTTTATAATTAATATCATATTTTCTGTATGCTGTAAACAGAAAAACAAAGTCATTTACTTTTGTCTGTTGTTTAATTACAGCTTTGATCTGTAGCCACTGCAAGGGGCAGCAACTCAAAATTACCCTCACAAAAGAAAGAAGACTGCAAGAGTTGCATGTAGAGAGGAGCATTAAAAGATTTCCTGGAACAACGGGTGGGTGAGCATTTCATTCAGACCTCATGAAGGTCACAAGGCTAGAAGAGCAGACTGTTACTTTTAAAAGTGCTCTTTCATACTTGGGGAAATATCAAGTCTCTTTGCAACGCCAAATTTTCGTATGACTGTTACACCAAACTCAAACTGGAGGGATGAATTTCAATTTATTTTAATTACGCAGATGGAAGCCTACAGTGTTAGAGGGACCAGACGGTGCCCAATTTAAAATCCAAATATTCTTAAACATAACTACTTTTCAAAACTTGCTACTGCCCCAATAACTCAATTATTTACACGACAGTGTTTTGCTAACTACTGGTCTTGCATCGCTGCATTTAAATGCTCCCATCTATATTACTTTTCAGGCCTTTGAAGGAAGTATGCACCTCTCCTATACCTTCAGTGGAAGAATCTTTGTACTCAATGTATCCTTTTCTACAGGATTACAGCCTGAAGAAACGCTCCACTGACAATTATGCAATCGACACAACACAAAATCCGCTTCAAAGTAGCATTTCTGTGCAGCAACAGTGACACCGGGTGGTCACTCCGTGATCCTGAATTGCTGCTGCTTAACACTGAAAAACAGCACAAGCAGCTGCAAGCACACCCTTGTGAGAAACATTGCCCTCCAACCAGGGTAGCACTGCAACGCTACAGCACCCCTCCATTTCACTTCTTGTACTTCTGCTGTTCTGTGCAGTTTCTAATAAGTCAAATATAATTAACTTTCAGCATGAGCCTTACCTGGTGGGCTGGGAAAACAGCGTGTGGACACATAGGTAGTTTTGCACAATCAGCCCAGGCTGCACAGACCAGGCCTGAGCTGCTCCCCGGCCACCACTCCAGCTCGGTTTGGGCTGAATGCATTGTGGTCACTGAGTGCACACTGGTGCTGGTGCACCCATGCCTACACATCATGTTCCCAGGGTCTCTGCTCTTGCAGAGCAGGCCAGGCCCCAAACTTAGCTCTGCACCAGCTTACCAGCTGCACCTAATGGCACTTTGGAAGTCCGGGTTCTGCACTGCATTTGAACAGCACTTCAGCAACAGTTCCCATTCAGTAATTGGCTCTGGAAAAACCTACCTGCCCCTTACAGACTCATTCCTAACCCAAAGCAAACAAAAACCCCCTTGAACCCACAGCCTGCCTAATCTGATCAGTTAGCTACTGTGACTGTTACCATGCAGCACTGTTTAATTATTAAAAGAACCTGAGAAAGGACATCTCTTAATTATAATCCAGGGAAGATAAAGCAGCTGATTTCACTGTGAGCAAATAATCAGCAGAGAAAGTAAATTTATTCACTGCCATATCTCCTCTGGACTGTGAGTTACTCAGGGAATTTATACACTAAGGAAAGCAGGGAATCAAAACCTGCTGCAAATAATTCCAGTCACAGCTGTGACTAGCAGAAGTGTGTTTAAATTGCCTACAATCAGCAGGTTAAATCTTCCCCCATTTTCACACCCATATTAAGAACACACTGCCAGTGTCAGCACTGCTGTTCCAGTCATATCCAGGACATGCTCAGTAATGTAAGATGTGAATGTGGTATTTGAGCGACGCTGCACCATGCGCCACCACTAATGAACAAAGTGCACTGGCACAGCACTGTGCATAGAGCACATGGATGCTGACTCCAATTGAACACTTAAGCAGCTCTTAGTATTCAACAGATCAAGGTCTTGACAGCCATGATCCTTACAGCCTGCTTAAGTTTCCATAAAAAGGAACTTGGATGATGACATCCATCCTTTAAGGTCCATCATTATGTGCCTGAAACATGCCTGAACCATCATCCCAAACTTCACCTCGTATTTCCCAATGCCTGCTTGGATGCAGATCAGTTCCAAATGCTTTTGTGAAGGCCAGTGTTTAACCCAAAGAGACCCACAGCACCCACCCCTCTGCTATGCAGTACTGAAGGCATTTTCATTAGAGCTGATCAATTCAAGCAGGCTCCCCAAACTGCCCACTACAGCGCCTACTGCAGAGCCCTTCCCCAGATAGCAAGTGTTTGATGTAGTGAAGCCTACAAAACAGCCCGCTTCCATTTTATGAGTGGAACAGACAATGCAATTTGAAATATTAAAATACCTAACTGGCCAGCCACACACACAGCCTGCACCAAGGACAGTGGGACAGAACCTGCACCTAACTGCGAGGTAATGGAATCTCAGGCCCACCCACCTTAACACAGCCCAGCTTACAACCCACTCCTACTACCTTAGTCCTACATTAATGTTTGATAGCAGCTTTATGAAGTCCTTACTGGAACGCTGTGTATCCTTTCTGGAAATACAGAATCAATTTAAGTTCTAGAAAGAACTAGTGACAGTAGTAGTGCTTAGACCTTAATTCGTGTTGATTCACCACCAAATATCTCCACAGCCCACACAAAGATGCTTAAGCTACCACAGAAAAAAGCCAAAAGGAATGTATGTGTCACTTACATATACTGGGTTTACTAGCCCAAATTGGGACAGACAACAGAATGTAATGTGCAACAGAAAACTTTATTAGCATTTCAACATACAGATCAGCAGTTAAGTTTGCATTTAATTTAAGACATTAGAAAGACTACAGTGCAAACACAAGTGCTGTGCATCTTGCTTGACAAGACTGCTGACAACTAATAGCCACCCCTGAGGCGCAGCACCAGATGCAGGGTGGACTCCTTCTGGATGTTGTAGTCAGACAGGGTGCGCCCGTCTTCCAGCTGCTTGCCAGCGAAGATCAGCCTCTGCTGATCAGGAGGAATGCCTTCTTTGTCTTGGATCTTGGCCTTCACATTTTCAATGGTGTCACTGGGTTCAACCTCAAGGGTGATGGTCTTGCCAGTCAAGGTTTTCACAAAGATCTGCATACCTCCCCTCAGGCGCAGCACCAGATGCAGGGTGGACTCCTTCTGGATGTTGTAGTCAGACAGGGTGCGCCCATCTTCCAGCTGCTTGCCAGCAAAGATCAGCCTCTGCTGATCGGGAGGAATGCCTTCTTTGTCTTGGATCTTGGCCTTCACGTTCTCAATGGTGTCACTGGGTTCAACCTCAAGGGTGATGGTCTTGCCAGTCAGGGTCTTCACAAAGATTTGCATACCTCCCCTCAGGCGCAGCACCAAATGCAGGGTGGACTCCTTCTGGATGTTGTAGTCAGACAGGGTGCGTCCATCTTCCAACTGCTTGCCAGCAAAGATCAGCCTCTGCTGATCGGGAGGAATGCCTTCTTTGTCTTGGATCTTGGCCTTCACATTCTCAATGGTGTCACTGGGTTCAACCTCAAGGGTGATGGTCTTGCCAGTCAGGGTCTTCACAAAGATCTGCATGCCTCCCCTCAGGCGCAGCACCAGATGCAGGGTGGACTCCTTCTGGATGTTGTAGTCAGACAGGGTGCGCCCGTCTTCCAGCTGCTTGCCAGCAAAGATCAGCCTCTGCTGATCGGGAGGAATGCCTTCTTTGTCTTGGATTTTGGCCTTCACGTTTTCAATGGTATCACTGGGTTCAACCTCAAGGGTGATGGTCTTGCCAGTCAGGGTCTTCACAAAGATCTGCATGTTTACCTGAAAAACGTACAGAAATTCCAGTATTAAGTAAATTACCCATAAACCCACGCATGCTTTGTATATGAGAAAACGACTCACTAATCCATATTACATTAATGTAAACTAGGATTTCAGTAAGCTATTACTAACCCTGTAATTCCTATTCTCCAGCTCCTCGTTGGAGTAGTACCCAATGCTTTTCAAAGCCCAAGCAGTACCCACGCAGCACAGAGCCAGCCCTCCCCCCACCTTCCCCTACCTGCATGGCAACCCACCCCCACCCCCACCCCCCCGCTGCGGGCTCTCACGTTGGCAGAGCTGCCCGGCGCTGACTCAGCTCCCCGCTTCCGGACAGCACAACGCCGCATCCGCCATCTTTTCGAACATCCTCCCTTTTTCAAACAGAATCTCTCTCCTCTCCGCCCCCCCCCCCCCCCCCCCCCCCGCCCCAGTTTTTAACAACGTCGTTAGGACGGATTTACAAACTCCACAACCACCACGCCTCGGAAACGCTACTCGAAGAAGACTCACTCCAACCCTTTCTGTCTCCCTGACTGGAAAAAAAAAAAAACCAAAAACAAAACAACCCATGCCTTTCCCCTTCCGCCCCAGCACCCCCACCGCACAACTCACGTCTCCGGCCCTGAGCGCAGTCTCTCAACAAACACAACTCCCAAAGCAGCAGCTGTATTCTGCGGGGTGACGCAGCGCCGCACGTATTTATGCGCCAGCCGCGCGACAGTCCCCGCCCCTCCAGCGCTGACGTATCCATCCACCCCTCAAAGTAGTCCCTTACAAAACCCCCCTGGTAAAACAAATACTTGCCTCCCTACTTCTCCAATCCCTCTTCCAAAACCAAAGGGGGTCCCTGATGTCTTCGGCAGAGAGCTGAGACCCTTAAAAATCCCCGAATTTCGGAGGGTGCGGAGGGATCTGGAGCTGCGGTGAAACGGCTACTCCAAACGGCGGCAAGGTCGGCATTGATTGGTGTAGCAGTAAGAAAGGTGGCTGCTGATTGGCTGATAGGGAGAGGTCGTTGTAAAGAAAGCTCTGGAAGATTCGAGCGCTGCAGCGTTCTGATTGGTGCGCGGTGAGGTCAGCCCTGTTGCTAGGGCGGCCCTGTTCTGCGGGGGCAGATTTCGATGGGGAAGGGGGGGAAGGGGGGGAGAGAGCAGGAAAATGGAGGGCGCGCAGGCCCTGTGGCGATGGGCGCGTTGTGTTTACGCCGTATCTTTTTGGCAGCTATTGCTTAGGGCAGGGAGAAAGGAGCAAAAGGAACCCCGTAACCACAGCATCACGGCTCATTTGTGGGACTGGAATAGCTGGGGCCCCTCCTATTGTGTGTGGCTGTAAGGAAAAGCCAGGAAGAGCAGAAATGTGTGTTAGAAGAGCTAGAAAACGTTACACAGAAAGCTGGCGAGCGTTAGCAGCTGCTGCTGTGTCACGCTGGCTCTGCTCTCTCCTGAATCCTGAGCCGCCCTCAGCCTGCCCTGCATGGCAGCTCCTCAGTGCTGAGAGCTCTGCTGCTGAAAGGGCTGTTAGCTGCTGTCGGAACAGGAAGCCCTGAGCAGGTCACAGAGCAGCTTCCTGCTGTGAGCCAACGTGGCAGTGTGCTTGGTGTTAATTGAAGTTCATTATACCTTGCGGACTGGCTCTTATGTCGTAATCAGAGCATGCAAAATCCAAAATGGTTTTCATGCTGTTTCATTTGCTGCTCGGTGAATGCAGATGAACTTGCTGGTAAATCCTGTGCTCAGGAAGCATGGGCGCGCTGTGAATAGCAGGATTTAACACAGAGCCATGAGCTGTATTTCCCTCAGTTAAAAAGAAAAACCTCTAGTTTCATTTCTTTTAGCAAGGCCCGCGTCTGCTCAGCACTTTGTGGTTTACAGTAAAAAGGAAATAAATCTTTCCAGCAGTTGTTCAGAACGTAGGCAGGAAGGGAGGAAAAGAGTAACTGGAAAGCTCAGAGACTGTTCTGGGGCAGTCACCAACCTCTGAGATACTATTCAGCTATGCAGATTTAGGACAAAGGGCGGATTTGAGCAATATTACACGCATTTCCTTAACACTGCCAACTTTGCTCACTGTTTCCAATAGGTTCATTCTGCGTGCGCAGTGCTAAAGCAGTAGATGTTAGAGCCAAGGCAGCTAAACAAGGAGCTCTGAGAGGAAAGCCATGAGAAACTAGAAATAATATTTACAAATGTGAAAGGCCACTGCTGCTAAACTGGAGATTAACCACAAGCTAATCTAAAGACTAGCCCGAGTGTTTTGGGCTTGCATTAAGGATTTCAGCACTTCCAGAAAATGCCAGAGCCCTCCCTTTAAAAAACAAACAAACAAAATATTGGCAAAGCCCGTGACTAAACTGTTTACGAAAGCAGTTGTTTGCTTTCTAGTTAAATATATCTAAGTATT